TTACTCCGAGACCAAGACTTTCTGTGAGCTGGTTCTACCATGTTGCCACCCAGGACTCACTATCTTTGAACAGGGAAAAGGATTTGCAAGAACGTCCTCAATGAAACAAATGCCTCGATTCAGAGCTACAATCAGGTACTCGACGATCTCATGCAGCAATTCCGAGATAAAGTGGCTCGTGACACCATCATCTTCCTTCACCGTGCAGGTAAGCATTTGCCTCAAACTCATCTGCATCTTCTGACGTTCGCCAACCTGTGACCTAGCCGAGGATCTGGACTTGAGCAACCTGGAGTATGCGACCGGTGCTGGACTGAATACATCCAAGCTTTGCCTCGCAGGCACTCGGGAAGGCATTCTAACTGAGATCAAGTCTTGGATCAACAGCACTGGGGAGAATGTACCCCCTGTTTTCTGGTTATCTGGCACGGCAGGGAGAGGCAAATCAGCCATCGCCCATACAATCGCCAACTGGTTTCATGAATCTGGGTGTTTAGGTGCTTGTTTCTGCTTCGACCGCACGGAAAATCGCCGCCATGAAAAGATATCTACCACCATTGCGCGCGACTTAGCTGACGGCAATCTTACCTTGCGGCGAGAAATAGCACATGTAGTTCATGATGACAACGAGCTCAGGCACACCCGAGACATCGCAAGACAATGGCAGAAGTTGATCATAGAGCCAATAGGCAAAGCCTCATCCACCATCACTCAACCCATTTTAATAGTCATCGATGCGCTGGACGAGAGTGGCGCAGCTAAATCCCGAGAACAAATTCTCCGTCTGCTTTCTTATACGCCAGATACTTCCTCCTCTCAGCCAACCAAATTCCCGTCTTATTTCCGTATCCTTGTGACTTCCCGTCTGCTCCGAGACATCCACGATACCCTGCATGACTTATCACATGTTCTTCATGTCTCCATGGATGATATCTCGTCTTCCTCGGCAGAACATGACATCCAGCTTTACCTCTCCAATAAGCTGGCCGGCGTTAGCGCCAATTTGAAGGACGCGGACTTCAACATGCTTGCGCAGAAGTCCGATGGTCTCTTTGAATGGGCTCGTCTTGCCTCTGCGCACATCAAAAATACGAACGTAGTGGGGGACCCGATGCGCCGTCTCCGTTCCTTGGTCTCCACGACTTTTGGAAAAGGAGTACATCTATTGGATAATATGTACCAACACATATTGGAGAAATTATACCAGAGGAGGAAGAGGAGGAAGTGATCCCTATGTTTCGTTCTGTGATGGGGCAAATTATTACATCATTAGAACCGCTCCCCATGGTTGCCTTAAATGCCATGCGACTACATTTTACAAATGAGGATGACCGTTACAACGTCGAGGCGGTCATGGGGCCACTGGGCTCGCTTGTCATCGGCACTGCAGATCCTGACATTCCCATACGTCCCCTCCACTCTTCCTTCTACGACTTTCTCACCGAAAAGAAACGAAGCGGCAAGTTCTCCATCGATGTGTCATTGATACAGAGGGACCTTGCCTTTGCCTCGCTGCGGGTCATGGCAGGCGGGCTTCGTTTCAATATCTGCTCTTTGGAAAGCTCTTACCTTCCTAATTATGCTGTCCCTGATTTAGAGTCACGAGTGAAGAACTTCATTCCAGTGGAGTTGTCGTACTCGTGTCGATTCTGGGGGACACATGTAACAGCTACGTCCTTCGAGCCATCGCTTGCCAAGGAAATCGAAGCCTTTTTCGATGGAGAGCGCTTCCTGTTCTGGCTGGAAGCACTGACTCTAGTCAAGTCCCTAAATAGTACAGCGCGTTTCCTCTCGTCCGTTGCAGATTGGTTTACGGTACGTAATTGTGGCTTCTTTGGGATGCACGGAGTCTCACGTGATGATATTCACAGGATAACGCTGAGCATATGCATACCAGCGACGATATCAGAGATGCCCAGCACTTCATTGAAACTTTCGGGACCACCATTCTGCACAGCACTCCACATTTATACTTGTCCGCTCTGTCATTTGCTCCAACACAGTCGACGATATTCAGGAAATTCGCCACAAAGTTTCCTCGCACTCCTCGGGTTGTTGCTGGTCACGTTGCATGGTGGTCTCCGAGAGAAAACAGACACCATGGGCACGCCGGGGTTATGTCAGTTGCAATCTCGCCAGATCGAAAACGTATCGCGTGTGGTTCATACGACGGTACAATCCAGGTGTGGGATATAGAAACTGGCGAGGCATTGGGTGCCCCTCTCCGAGGGCACAGTGAGGCCGTACGGTGTATCGCAATTTCATCGAATGGAAAACGCATTGTATCTGGTTCAAATGACCACACAATCCGAATGTGGGATTTGGAAACCGGGAAAGCATTGGGTTCCGCTCTCCGAGGGCACACCACCTACGTCCTGTCTATCGCAATCTCACCGGACGGACAACGTATAGTGTCTTCGGGCGAAAGGACGATCCTGGTGTGGGATGCGCAGACCGGCGAGCTATTGGTTGCCCCTCTCGAGGGACATACTGGCGTTATTCGGTCTGTCGCAATCTCGCCGAATGGACGACGTATTGTGTCTGGTTCAGATGACGCGACCATCCGGGTGTGGGATCTAGAGACCGGCGAAGCCTTGGGCCCCCCTCTCCGAGAGCACACCGATGCTATTCTATTTTTAACGATCTCACCAGATGGCACACGCATAGTGTTTGGTTCAAGGGATAAGATAATCCAGGTGTTGAATGCAGAGACCGGCGAGGCAGTAGGTGCCCCTCTCCAAGGGCACACTAACCGCGTCTGGTCAGTCGCGATCTCAGCTGACGGAAAACTCATTGCGTCTGGTTCATCAGACAAGACGGTGCGAGTATGGGATGCGGACACTGGCAATGCATTGGGTACACTCCAAGGTCACACCCAGGCCGTATACTCCGTCGCATTCTCGCCGGATGGAAAACGTATTGTGTCTGGTTCATATGACACAACCACCCGGGTGTGGGATCTAGATTTTGTAAACAAGCACCAACTCATATCTGGAAGACCTGCAATATGTTTCTCTTCCAACCCAACTCATGCCCTTTGTTCCACCTTTTCCTTTCCTCAAGATTCTCCCACCCCAGCCTCTCTCACCCCCAACAAGGAAGGGTGGGTTAAAAGTTCCGAGGGACATCTTCTCCTCCGCATCCCTGTCGATTTCTATCAGTCCGTGTACATCCCGGGTAATACACTGGTTATTCCCAGTCACACATTGCAACTGGATTTGAGTCACTTCGCGCACGGCACCTTATGGTCCGAGTGTGGAGTCGCACATTAATATCCATCGTAGATTGCACTTTATAGCAAAGCAGTGGATCCGACGTTCTGTACATACTAGTAGTGACAGTGTATTAACATGTATAATGCTGCATCACGTAAAATCGTCCAAGTACTCATTTGATGAGAGTTTGTTGAGTTGGGTCGAGACTACAGTTTTGACCCTTAACTTTATGCTTACTCGCAACCATGTCATTCGCACGAGCTGGCTGCTATTGAGGACATCAGTTCTATTGCACCCTCAGGTTCATTTTACTAGAACAGCCCATCGCACTATGGGCAAGAACAACAAGAAGAAGTCCAACATCATTCCTGCTGAGGCCTTCCTCCGTCTTCCTCTGATTGCAGATGCCTCCCTTGCTGACCAGCCCATCATCGACACGCACACCCACCTTGTGTCGACATTCTCGACTTACCGGAACAAGTACAGGAACGGGACACTTTACACTATCCATGACTTCGTGCGTGAGATGTATCGCAATCGCAACGTGAAGGCAATCGTGGACGTGTGGTGCGAGGCACCTGTGTTAATGGCGTGGAGGGAGCTTGCGGACTCAGCACTGACTGCAGAAGATCGGGAACAGAAGTGGGGAGGTATCGATTATTGGTTTGTGATGGGTGAGTTATCCGATCGTGCGCTGTCCTCGATTCCTGCACTGAGAGATGATTCTGACAGGCGTTCACCCGTGCGTACTGGTTCGGATGTCTCGTACGGGAGTGAACTGATAATCCTCCCAGGCACGATGCAAAGTCATACAACGATGCAGTTGAGGCTTCCATGTATGTTTCTGCGTTCTTCATAACTGTGGGGATTTGATTCGAGAGTTTTAGTCTTGAAGCGATGGCCCACCCACGATGCGTAGGCTGGGGAGAGATGGGTCTTGATTACCACTACGACAACTCCCCACGGGCAATCCAGCAAGCAGTCTTCATCCGACAGTTGAATCATGCTGTCAGGCTGGGCAAGCCGCTCACGATCCACACGCGCGAAGCGGAGGCAGACACGGAGAGGATTCTCATGGAGCACGTCCCTGCCGATCACAAGGTACTGCCAGCGATCATTCTTGTTACTGATTCCCGAGGCTGAATCTTCTTTTAAAGATACATATACATTGTTTCACAGACTCGCCAGAATTCGCACAGCGACTACTTCGTCATTTCCGTAATCTGTACATCGGGATCACCGGTAGGCCGGTCATCATTGAGTTCGATAAGCCTCTGAACTATTCATACATATAAGGGGTTATTACATATTCGACGAATCTCAATACGTCGAATATCATTAATCAGATGGCCAAGAGCGATGGTGGACCGCGTATACTACTGGAAACAGATGCGCCCTTCATGGTCCCTTCCAACCTCTACAATTCTATACCGGAAATCAAGGGCAGCAGGTTGCCCTTGTGTCACACTGCAATGATCCCGTGGGTTGCAGAATATACCGCAGGAAAAGCTGGACATCCGTGGAGTGGTGCGGATATCATGAAGCGCGCCAATGAGAATGCTAAAATAGTATACGGCGTCTAGAACCAATTTGAATCTTGATTGGAGTTCATCAACTGTGGAGTACTACTGAACGTGAGGGTGATATAGCTTATAAGTTACAGAGACGGAATAACAATATCAACGCGGAAAGCAAGATCAGTGAAGTTGGGTATGTGTACTATTTATTTCCAATCCATCCCAGGTAATAGCAATGGTAGTAAGCAAGCCCGCATGGCGAAGCAGGTTATATCTGCTTGTCGATAGATGGTTGTGATTTTACTTCACTGTGGTCGAGTGCACGTTCAATGAACACTTCGCGGGACTCAGCGCTGACTGAGCCGAAAATTATATCCATCTCCTCTAGACTACGACCTTTGGTTTCAGGGAGGAACCTGTTGAGTATGGTGTAAGTATTGATCAAGTAATTGGCACATGAATCGACTAACAAAGAGAAGACAGCCATTCCACCAATATTGATCGTAGCAAACATCATGAAGAGTTTGAATCCTAGATCAGTCTCAAGCGTTGGGGTAACCTTCGCCACAACGAAGTCTACAGGATCGAGTTAGCAGCATTAGGACATTTTACATGACTTAGCACGCACTCCATAGCCATTGAGAACCAGAACCTACGGCTAATCCGTAATGGCGAGTCCGTGTGGGAAAGATATCGGCGACATAAACCCACGGAAGAGGACCCCACCCCATGGAGTAGAAGCAGACATAGATGTAGAGCATGGCAGCCATACCTTTTGAAGACGGTGACGGTGGTGGCGCAGACTGGCCCGCCAGAGGCGTGACAACAGGATGCGTTTTCAAGATAGTACCGATGATGAAGAACGTGATTCCCATTCCCATGGCGGATATGAACAACGAGGCTTTGCGACCGAGACTCTCGACAAAGAAGAACACGAAAAGTGCAGTCGCAACGACTTTCACAATACCGTAGATTCCAGACGCCAAGAGAGAATTGGTGGTCCCGGAGTACCCAATCTAAAATCTTGACGTGTGAGTGAGGGAAGAGGATACTGTATGGGAGGCTCACCGAGCTAAAGATTTGAGGTGCGTAATAGCCAACAGAGTTTTGTCCGCTCCATTGCTGTAACAAGAAGATCACAAATGCAATGACAAATCGGACAAAATTGCCCTTCCCGAGGAAGGCTTCTTTCAATCCAAGGCCTTTACGAGCCTCCTGTTCTTCACGAATTGCAGCTTCAATTTCAGCAAATTCACGCCGTACTTCATCTGAATCATAGGGCTCCCTCCGCAAATAAGCAAGATTGGCAATGGCTTCCGCAACGTAACCTTTGGATGCAAGCCAACGGGGAGACTCCTGCATTAAAATGATCTGCAATGGTCCATGCAAGTTCGAGGATGACTAACCTTGACAGTACAAAGACCAAGGCACATCAAACCTGCAGGAACGAGCTGAAATCCAAAAGGAATCCTCCAGACATTGGGGCTGTTCGCCATGTGAAGGCCGACACCAACTGTGTAATTATTGTGAGCACCATCCAGGCCAAAATGAACAAAAAGGGACTAAACGGTTTATGAAATATGAAATCATGACACCGATGGCCACCATGATCTGGAAACACCCGGTAATGCGACCACGAACATTCTTCGGTGAACATTCGGAGACATAAGTGGGTGCGACAGCAGAGATACCGCCGATGCCGAGGCCGGAGATAACTCGACCGCCGTAAATGTATGCAATACCCCGGCTACCACCAGCAACCGTAGTAAGTATCTAGAACCGCGTGAGTAAGAGGCTTATCTGATAATGGATTCCAAAGAACCACTCACAGCACCAATAACGAAAATGATGGTAAAACCGATCAATGTCAACCTCCGTCCCAACCAAGCTACGTGATGGTCGGAATGTATCAGTCTACCAGTGAGTGGTCATCACTGTACTAACCTGATATAGGTGCACTGCCTAGAGCGCCAAAGAATGCTCCTGCCTGCAACACAGAAACAACATTGGAAGAAACCTCAGTATCCTTGCTTTTGTTGATTGAGCCATCGGCATTGACTAAACCGAAGCTAGTCTCGAAGTAAGGCTGGGAGACGACACCTCCAGCTATACCACTAGGTCACAGTCAGATAGGCGCTTGTGAGCTTTCAACGACGAGGAACATACGTGTCATATCCAAATAGGATGATGCCCCAGTAAGCCACGAATGCGAGCCCTGCAAAGTTGTGAGCAAAAAATGTGTATTAGATAATGTTGCAACTGACAGTACACGCGAATATTCTTGAAAGTGTCACCACTGAACATGATGGTGACCAGTACTATGCTGGCAAGGATTTGGCACGTCGTGGATACAAGGAGAGATAAGAGGTGTACTTGCGTCGTGCGACCATACGGCAGACATTTACTTCCACGGATCCTGCAGCTGACTCGGATCGACTAAGTACCAAAGTTTAAGCTTTGCTTGGTACCTGCGTGCGGCCCCCGGTCAGCACCAGGTCCCCATGGACTGTTGTGCAAAGTCTGCGTGAGAACTACATACGGTCAAGTGCTTGATGTACTTAGTAAGAGTGGTCGATCTCGGAGTGATTCACTAGTGCTGGTAAGGAACGATAGTAAATCTTACTGAGAGTAATGCTTTGTGCAACGAGAGACTATTCTAAAAGTTATGTATACTCCACGAAAATATATTAAATACTGTTGGTACGTTGGTACGCTGTTTCCATGTAAATTACCGATGCATGGTTATTATATGATCTTAGATTTGGTGGCTACCTCACGATCAGTAAACGGGACGTCCCACCGCTCTATTCCGTACCCCTCATAGCGCTCGGGTCACTTGACATAGCACATTCCAGAGAAGAGAGCATCAAAGACATGTCAGAAGACGATGTCAGGAAGTTATCCCCATTGAATGAGAAATTGTCGAAACCGAAGGGATTCGTAAATTCCAACCCAAGTGCCCCCCCCCTGTCCATGCTCACGGGGGGTATCTGGGGAAGGTTCTCAAATGGGGAATACATGAACTCGGAATACTGAGAATAAAGTTCGGTGTTCTACTAAAGCATTAATAAGCAGTCGTGAAATCCATGCAAGTACTCACCTGTTGCCCGCCGAAGGGAGAGTTAAACTGTGACGTAGCGTCAGAAACCTGCGTCTCGAACAAAGGGTCGTCCTCTCGGTCTGGAAGAGGCCATGCATACGGCACTGGAGCACCAAACCACGTATCTCCATCAGGCTGCGAGTTTGGAAGGTCACACGCTGGAATGAGAGGTGAAGCGATTGGCTCCGAGGTGACGGAGTGGTACATGGTAGTGCGGCTCGGGCGACGAGCTAGATCGTCATGAGTAACCAAGAACGGAGTCCAAGACTCGAGATCTGCGGACGGGTTCACTGGTTCCGCGCCAACAGGGGGGCACGAGGACGAGCGTCGTGGACGCGAGGGAGCGGGATAGGGAGTGAAACGAGCGGTAGCCTGCGCAGTTTGCTTCGAGCTATCACTCATCTCAAGTGCGCGCTGTACCAAGACGGATGATAATTCTGCCCTGCGTGATTCTAGCTCCCTCTCTTCTTTAGCGATGCGGTCACTCTTGACCTTCCTTTGCTTTGAAGTTTGCTGCGCAGGCATGTATTTATACCCAGGGTACATCGCAGCGTGGCGCTCTTTCTCTTTCAAGGCAAGGTCAATCCACGGTTTCTGTTGCTCTTTCTTCATGCCTCTCCATATTTTACCTGCGATACGTGATAGGTTTCGGTGGTCACTTTCTACATGACCTGGAATTTTCTTTTGCTGGACAAAGTCACAGCGGAAGAGAATGAACGCATTGCGGGGACGAGGGATGTGTCCGGCAGGCTGCCGTTTGGCATGTGACGTCCGATTCGTCTTTGGAATGAGGTCTGCGACTCCTGGTATGGGCAGTTGAATGACGTCGGGAAGCGTGTTGGGTGACGGAGTGGAGTCCGAGGCACTTTGTGGTGATTCTGACAAAGAAAAGGATGCTGGGGTTCCGAGATGTACAGGCGCGAAGCCAGGCGACGGGGAATGCTGGAATGCATGTTGGGTGGGTGCTGGTTGATTATAGCGTCGCGGACGCGAAATAAACACTCTACAAGTATCCTCCAGGGAGTGTCTGTAGCTCATTGCGAGATGAAAGTAAGAAAGGAAGATGTCGAGCCACAGTATAACATTTCGGCGTTTTGAAGCGGCTGGAAAGAAAGGGAAAACGCACCCGAAGAACTGGCATGAGGATCTATGAGGGCATGTTACAGGGGCAGCGCTCCCACTCATCGACGATTGTCCAGGATACCTGACATTGTGGTTAGTGACGCCTTTGTGGATTCCAATATGTCAGTTCGGTCACCCTGAATTATTGGGCATTCTCGGTCCCAACGTTAGCTCATTAATTCAAGCTAGTCAACGTCCCCCCCTAGTGTTGCTCTCCGCGATCTTAAGTACTTTTCTTACTCCGCCCATTATGGACCTAAAAGAAGGCAAGCTAGTTCCTCAAGTGTTCGGAAGGAACCGGCATCGTACCTCCTTGCCTCGGTTCCCAGTAGTAAAGGGAGAACTAGCAGCATATTAATGTCCCGAGGTTGTCCATCGAATTTCGTTTACAGTACCATTGGATTCTCACTCTAGCGTCTCGTTCGTGCAAGGGGAAGATAAATGGTTAAACTTGAATGGTTGTGACTACGACATTGTATGTACAAGTTTAAGGGTGAATGATCGGGGAGGGATTACGGGCGAAGGCAGACAACTTCACAAGCCAAATCTCTGAGAGCGTGACAAGTGCAACCGACTGCATCGAGATCAGAGATCATCAGCATGTCCAGGATGATGGTGGCGACATCGTGGCTCTGAGCGACTGGGACGAGAGTAGAAAGTTGAAACACCTTGGAATAGATGTATATCGTTGGCATTGGAGCAGCGATATAGACTCGTGGAACAATTAAAGCTCAACGTTCAACGCCATTGAATTCAACTTGTTTGAGAACATCTGTGGAAAGAGCCGGCGGAGTCGGGAACTGGCGCCTCAGTGGCGGTACGATAACGATCATGAGACAGATAAAAAAATCCTCATGAGTCATAAGTACTTAAGTCTGTACCCTATAAGACGGGTCCAGGAACTTGACTCATTTGTTAGAAATGTCACCCCTCGCACACCCTTCGATCCAAGGTAGGTGCCATATAACAATGAATTGATCATTGACTGATTGAACTTGCTAGATGGTTGGTTCCGCGAAATCTCCTCTCAGTGGCCTGGTCAGGCCATGACCCTCAAGGTCAATAAGATCTTGCACCTCGAAAAGTCTCTTTATCAGGACGTTCTTGTCTTCGAATCCGAGACCTACGGCAATGTACTGGTCCTCGATGGTGTCATCCAATGCACCGAACGAGACGAGTTCTCGTATGTCGCTCATACGCCAGCCCTTGCTCGAATCACTTGACCTTTTTGTAGGTATCAGGAGATGATAGCCCATCTACCTCTCGCCAGCCATCCAAACCCGAAAAAGGTCCTTGTTATTGGGGGTGGAGATGGGGGCGTCGTTCGAGAGGTGCTCAAGCATGATACAGTTGAGCAGGTGGTTCTCTGCGACATCGATGAGGTACGTACATGAATAGGTAACATATTAGTGCTTATTTGACAAAACTATAGGCCGTGATTAGGGTCTCAAAGAGGTACCTCCCGCACATGTCTGCGCTGCTCGACTCTCCTCGCGTCAAAGTCTTCGTTGGCGACGGCTTCAAGTTCCTTGCCGAGAACGAGGCAACCTACGACGTTATCATCACCGATTCCTCTGATCCGGTTGGTCCAGCAGAGGCTCTTTTCCAAAAGCCCTACTTCAAGCTTCTTCACGATGCACTGACTCCTGGGGGGCATATATCGACACAGGCAGAATCTCAGTGGCTCCACATTCCCTTGATCGATAACCTCCTTAAGTCGACACGCGAGATCTTCGCAGTTTCGCAATATGCCTTCGCCACGATCCCTACATACCCATCTGGCCAGATCGGATTCTTGGTGTGCTCGAAGGAACAAGGTCGGGTCCTCAGTGTACCCACCCGCAAAGTAACCAACACCCGTTACTATAATGAGGACGTGCATCGAGCGGCATTCGTACTTCCACAATTTGTTAAATCGTTCTTGGAGGAAGGAAAGGACATCCTACCCGTATTCGGACGTGCTGCTGCAGCTGCTAAAGTTGCGGCAGAAGGCAAGAAAATCCGCAAAGTACTTCTTCTTGGCTCTGGTTTTGTTGCACGCCCGTGTGCCGAGTACGTTGTACGTGACCCGTCGAATGAGCTGACAATCGGTAGGTCACAAAAATCCATACCTTTTGGCGATCCTCATTCCTTCTACAGCATGCCGCACGCTCCAGAGTGCACAAGCGCTTGCAGAAGGTCTTCCAAATGCACAGGGCATTTCTCTGGACGTCAATAATACCAATGACCTCGAGGCTCAGGTTGCTGCACATGATCTCGTCATCTCTCTGATCCCCTACACGTACCACGCGGCTGTCATAAAGGCTGCGATCAAGGCTAAAGTTCACGTCGTCACAACCAGTTATGTATCCCCTGCAATGCGTGAACTTGATGAGGAAGCCAAGAGAGCGGGCATCATTGTAATGAACGAGATTGGTCTTGATCCTGGCATCGACCATTTGTACGCGATCAAAACAATCGATGAGGTGCATGCTAAGGGTGGCAAGGTGAGCTATTGTCACTTTCGATCTCTACAAATGCCTCACATATCTCCATAGATCAAGCAGTTCCTATCATACTGTGGTGGTCTCCCAGCACCAGAGTGCTCGGGTAACCCACTCGGTTACAAGTTCTCATGGTCATCCCGCGGAGTGCTTCTCGCCCTGCTCAACTCAGCAGCCTACCTTTCCAACGGTAAACAGCTCGATATTTCCGGCAACGAATTGATGGGATATGCCAAACCCTACTTTATCTCGCCTGCATTTGCGTTCGTGGCTTATCCGAACCGTAACTCCGTACCCTTCAGGGAGTGGTATAACATCCCAGAGGCAGAGACTGTGGTCCGCGGCACACTCCGATACCAAGGATTCCCCGAGTTCATCAAGGCGCTTGTTGAGTTGGGCTGGCTGGATGCATCCGAGAAGGATTGGTTGAAGGAAGGCTTGACCTGGGCACAAGTCATGCAACAAGCGATCGGTGCCAATGATGCTGCAGAAAGGTAAGCAGCTGGTTGTTTGAATCTGTGCGGAATACATAATTGACTCAAAAATCTAGCACCCTCGTCGCACACGTGAAGTCGGTCTGCAAGTTCCCTAATGATGCCGAAGCTACCCGCATCATTTCCGGGCTCCGCTGGATTGGACTTTTCTCATCAGAAACTGTGAAGCCCCGTGCAGGAAACCTCCTCGATACCCTCTGCGCACAACTCGAGACGCTGATGAAGTACGAGCAGGGCGAACGGGATCTCGTCATGCTTCAGCACAAGTTCGTGGTCGAGTGGGCTGACGGCAGCGAGGTACGTATTTGCTACAGGTCACTTATATCAGACAAATTTGCTGATCACCTTCTAGCAAACGCTTACCTCGACGCTCGAGCAATACGGAAGTCCATCTGGGCATTCCGCAATGGCACTCACTGTCGGTGTTCCTTGCGGTATTGCAACGCAACTTGTTTTGGATGGCGTTTTTAAAACTCCCGGAGTTCACGTTCCATACACAAAGGAAATTTGTGACCCCATCCGTGAACTCTTGGAGAGCGAAGGGCTGGGTCTGATAGAGAGGGTATTGTGAGGCTACTACGCATACCACAGATATCCTGCATGTTGTATAAATAAAAAAGATGTACTAGAGATAGACGCAGGTCACCATGTCTCTTCACCACGTTCCATGATCACGATCATTCTATGGTTTGAGTTCAAGTTGAGTTTGAGTCGGGTTTGACTTTTGTTATTGTCTTTTCCCAATGCTGCGCGCCACTGTAATCGCCGTTGCATCTCACCATCATCTATTGCAATGATGCGGCAACCACGAAGGTCGCCCCATGATTCGTACGAAACTGAGACGACAGATCACCAAACAGAAACAGAAACCATACTACTCAAGCACCTCCCACTTAGCCCAGACTCGCCTTCCCCGTTGCAGAGGGATTCACATCTACAGTTCTTGATTCGAAATCTAATACAAGGCTTTCCATCCCGCTACATCAGTCAAGACGCAAGCCAACCATGGCTGCTCTACTGGACGCTCCAAAGCTTCAGCGTCATGGGTGTAGCGCTAGATCCGAACAATAAACAAAAGTGCGTGGTGCAGGTGGCGCAATCCGATGGGATGGCTCAAGATGTGCTTCTTTTGTAGGGCCATCGACACTATTATGGCATGGCAGCATCCAGATGGCGGTTTTGGAGGTGGGCCGGGGCAGGCTGCCCATTTGCTGCCCACGTATGCAGCGGTTTGCGCGCTGGCGATCGTTGGAAGGCCTGGGCCGGGGGGAGGATGGGATCAGATTGACCGGTGAGTACTAAATTATTACCCATATGGAGATGTTGTTGACGTCTCGCTAGGGAGAAGATGTATAAGTTTTTCATGTCCATCAAGCAATCTGATGGGGCGTTCCTCGTGGCACACCATGCAGAAGTGGATGTTCGGTTTGTGAAGTTTTGATCGGGTTTCCATCTATGTTTGCTGATGTGGATATCGTACAGTGGTACATATTGCCTCCTCGTGACAGTACATTTACTGAACATGCTGACGCCGGAGCTTTTGGAGGGCATCCCTGGCTTCATTATGTCATGTCAGACCTACGAAGGAGGCTTCTCATCTGCGTCGCAGCCATATTTCTCTGCCGAGCCAGAGGGCCCGATCCTACTCGATTCTCCGCGTCCGCCTCTCGGCGAGGCTCACGGCGGGTACACTTTCTGCTCTCTAGCGTCATGGGTCATGCTTCAACCGTACCTTGCTCTGCAAAAGCCTTCGCTCCAGCGGCCATCTCTAAATTTCAAGACGCTGCTGCGATGGCTGGTGCAGATGCAAGGCTCGGAGATCGAGCTTGGTGGTTTCAAGGGCCGTACTAATAAGCTCGTGGATGGGTGTTATTCCTGGTGGGTTGGAGGCTGCTTTGCATTGTTGTCTTCGCTTGGCATCGTTGGTGCGCATGGCCGTGATGATAACCGTGAATCTTCTACTGCCCATGAAGAGGACGAATCTTGGGATGATATCGATGGTTTGTCACATCTGCTGTCGTTGCATGACGAGAGATGCTGATGAATGAGCTCATATGCAGATTCTTTATGGGATCGTGCTGCCCTACAGCGCTACATCCTATGCGCCGGCCAACATCCAGCAGGAGGCCTGCGCGATAAACCTCCAAAGTAACTGGGTTATGGAATTATCTATATGATATTTTGTTGATGATATTTACAGGGCCGCGGATTCATACCACACACTATATTGTCTAGCAGGACTATCCGCGGCTCAGCATAATGTTTTCCTGTCATCTACTCGACTGGATGCCATTGTTCACGGTTGGAGGACCCCGGCTGGTAGGTCGTAAGCTTTGATCGGAAACGCTAGTGGCTCATTCGAATCAGAGTGCAAGCACGAGCAACTTCGTCAAGCGTGCTTCTCGCACTCTCTTTCATGGACAGAGGAGGAGGGTACATCTCGTGTACTTGGAGCGCAAAATAACCGGATGGTGACTTTCTGTGCCAATTTCGACGCGCTGAGTGACTTATCGAGCTTTTATGCAGAATGCGACACATCCGGTATTCAACCTAACGATGACACACACGGAGGCTATGATGGCGCATTTCTACAAACAAACGATTCCTTCACGGCCCAAGAAAACTTGAAAGGCGATTGACGACAGGTCAACACAGGATCGTGTGGCGCAGGGTATCATGTGGTGTAAGATATCATCAAGGAATGAGTACTGAGTACTGAGTCATATACGATCTGTATCTGAAACTTTAAAGTTAAAACAACGAATGACAAAATTGCAAAGCTCTGCCGATGCTCCGCCAACAACATATTTGGAACTAGGGGACCGCGACACGGATCATTCTCGGAATACATACATCATTACTGATGTTTTTCCGTGCATAGGGCACATTCCCGCAGTACATTCACATTGGACCACAAGGCGCGAGGTGACAGGTTGTGGCATATAAAGAAGGAACGACCCAGTCATCAACGAGTCATTCCTTGAAGATTTATAAAGAGTTGTGTGACGAGTGATGGGATTGAACGTACTACATATGTAGACAGAGGTGGAGGGGATAAGACCCCGATAACGCATCATGTAAGGCTCAAATAGTGCGGAATGTGAGTTGAATTTGCTTTCAATATGTTAGTCTAGACCGGAAGACAGTCGTTGATTTCAATTAATCCCTTATCTTTTGCAAATATTTTTCAAAGTCCGTAATAAATTTCATAAGGACCGCAGATTTTGCAATTGTGCCGTGTTGATGATGGCTCGGCTGGTACATGTCAACCTCACGAATCTTGCTAGGCACCAGCCCGATAATTATAAACGACGACAGCAAACAGCCTTTTCATCAAAATTATGTTCACATAACAACTGTATTATAATTTATGATCTAGTCTCGGACCTTGATCACCTTCAAAGCTTCAAATATGGACGTTATCTCCCTCAACCGGCGCACAAATGAGCGCACGTGTTATCCATTCTTAGCGATTCGCACAGTACGAGAACAGATGAGAACTTGTGCTGCTATCCCTACTTAGGTCATCCCGCTGGCAGTTGATCCACCCCAGGCTATGCAGGCTTCCGTTGTGTCCCAGGAACCAGCCATGCAACTCCGTGATTCAAGTACCGGCTCATGTCCCGGAATTTCCATTCTTCCATTTCTCGGGAGATGCGGCGTGTGTAACAGTGAGTAATGACACCGCATACTTGACATCGAGCACATGTAGTAGTACCCACAGTATAGGTAAATAAAGCCTACCCCATCAACCCGCGAACTCTGAATCCCCATTCCTCGCTCCCACCACAATGGCGTTTACTATCGAAGCCAGCGTGGATCCTCAAGTTTATGTCTCAGAGAAGGAAGAGCGGGATCCGTATGTTCTCGAGAACTACCATATCCCCGATGGCACTACCCCCAATCTCGAGACATACATGTACTATGCCAAGATTCAACGTGATAAGGAGGCCCTATCTGCAAAGAATGATACTGAAGATGGCCTTTGGGGTGGCCTATTCTCGAGAAAATCCACACGTTCTCAGGAATCTGATAGGCGTTCGGTTGCATCAGCCAACTCTGATGGGAAGAACGTAACTCCTCCCTCAAACGAGGGGGGCGCCGCTCTAGTCACCGCAGATGAGTACCGTGCTGCTTCTGGGGCTCTTAGAACGGCCACATGGGGAAGCGTGTTCTATCTTATTACAACTGGTAAGCTAATCGTCAATTTTAATGGGTTCTATCTATGACATCCTTCGCAAGACATTTTGGGTCCTTACTCTACCCCGTGGGCATTCCAACAAGTTGGATATGGTCCTGGTGTAGCTTGTTTCTTCGTCTTCGGCATCATGGCTGCATACGGTGGCTTCATCCTATGGAGGCTCTTCTTAAAACTGGACTCGGAAAGGTATCCCGTCAAGTCTTTCGGAGAATTAGGGCAACGCATCTATGGCCGCTGGTTCGGGAATCGTACGTAAACACTCTCATCAATGTAGAAAATCGATTGATCACGTGCATCTACAGTCTGTAACATCTTGCAAAGTTTGCAGCTCGTGTTCAATGTTGGGATCATTATTCTTCAAAATGGCCAAGGTCTTTCGCAGATGGCAAAGTTTAGGGTAACCATGTCATGTTTTGGCGCATATTGTCATCTAACTTGCCCTTCTATAGCTATGCTTCAGCGTCTGTAACGTCGTCTGGACCCTGGCTGGAATGTTTCTTGGTCAAATTCGGACTCTTCAGAAGTTTGGCTCGATCGCTAATCTCGCTATCTGGCTGAATATCACTGTCTTGATTATGACGATGGCCTTTGCGGCTAACTCACCACCTAACTATACTGCATCCACCCTCCCCATTGGCCCTGTGATCACTCAGGCTATCAACGTACAGGCTTTCGAGAACCAGCTCAATGGTATCATGCAGATTGTGTTCTCATACGGTGGAGCGTAAGTCATCATGACTCATAAAAACATTCATGTGCAAATGAACAAATTCTTTTAGCATGATTTTTGTGGAGTTTATGGCTGAAATGCGGCGCCCAATGGATTTCTGGAAGGCTATGGCGTATTCCCAGATCTTTATCTTCATCGTATACATGTTCTTCGGTCTCTTCGTTTATTCATACCAAGGCCAATATGTTGTTAACGTCCGTCGTTTCTCTCTTAACTTGAAATCCTACTGACGATGCTCTCGCAGCCGGCTAATCAGGGAATTTCGACTTATGGTCTACAGACTGCGGGGAACGCAATCTCTTTGACCGCTGGTATCATTGCCGCCGCATTATATGGCAATATTGGTGTCAAAATCATCTACAACAACATCTTCGTGGCGATGTTTGATTTCCCAAAGTTGACTGCGACTCGGGGTAAATACTACTTCGCCCTCTTTGTCATAGTGTATTGGGCCATTGCCTTCGTTATTGCATCCGCCATCCCGCAATTCAGCGCCCTCTCGTCGCTGATTGCTGCCGTTTGCATCTTCCGTGAGTATTCATTTTTTTTTTCTGGTTGCTCTCACGACTTAAATCACCCATCAGAGTTTACATACACCTTCCCGCCATTTATGATCATGGGTTACTTCTTGCAAGTAGATGCCTCAAAAGACGACGGAGAATTTGACATCAACAACCCCTACGCCCACCGTGTTGACTCATGGAAAGACATCTCGCGTTGGAACCGTGCATGTACGTACTATCTTCTACACAGAGTTCCCTTGCGCCAAATCTAACCCTTGCGCCAGTCTTCTCTAACACTTGGCACTTCTTCTTCGCCGCATGGAACTTCCTTCTCACACTCGCATGCTTGGCTTGCGCTATTCTGAGTGCGTACTCGGCCGTCAACACGATCGTGACCGCGTTTCAAAGCTCGAGTTCTGCGGCGTTTAGCTGTCACTCGCCATTGGACGTCAGCGGATAAGGCACCAAATGGTAATACATCTTTGAACGTGCGTTCTTGTTTAATTGAACGCCGTGGGGATGTTATAGATAACCTCAACATATTAAACTTTGGTATGATATAGTACGCCGACTCGCTTACGCTTAACCTTATGTTACCTAATGTACCACTGGGAAGAATACAACACCTGTTATCTCGCGGCGCGCAACAGGTGCACAAGGTTCCGTACCACCTTAGTGGGTGCTCGACGTTAACGTTCAGGACTCGTCAAACGTACGCCTCTGGTCTACGGCACGTGAAGATGTATCTATCTACGACGTACGAGTTGACACTAACCATAACCCAACTCTACTTGGCCCAGCAGAGTAAAGTCCAAACAATTTTTTATATAAAGAATACAAGCACTCCGAGTGTCCCGAGTCGTGGCATGTGTCTACCAAGTTCGCCCCTCACCCACACCTATTCTCTACCAACACTATGACCATGGTCTTAAATGATCCCACTTGGTCGCCGACCATCAATGCGTATCGTTTTTTGTAGATTCGTAGAGAACAGTCGGATGTTGAAGCTGATGTCTCAGCCTAAACTTGACGGCAGTTTCACAGTTGCCTCATTTGTTGGAGCGACATATGATTGGGGTGAGCATGAAAGTATTCAAAGACTGCTGATATCTTAAAAGTATTTTCAGCACTTACATTCGGGCAAGAGGTATGTCGACGCTATGCCCGGAGCAGCCATCTCGCTAAGAATCTTCTTATAGGTCGAATTGGTCTGGATAAGTAGAGTCCTATGTCAAAAGAACAACCATGATAATAAACTTAATTACAGAGGCAACATCGGTCCATAGTGACGGTTCTGTATCTCGGTGTAGCCTGTTTGTCGCGGTTGTCATGCTGTACTGAATCGTGGTGCCGGAGTACGTGTAGTTCTTTGCTAACTTGTTGGTTCACCAATAACTGTCACCTATAATGCCACAGATGTGGGTCTTTGGTGTGTGTGCTACCCAAGGCCGATCACTGACCGGATTCGTCAGGTTGGATCGTGTACATCATATGGAATTGGACTGGTGTTCTGGTATTTGATGCTGTCGGGTGAGCTTGGCACTTGTGAGACCTCAGCGATATCGACTTGACTGACACGCGATGCAAGTCATCATCATCACCCGGTTGCATCCCATGTACCAGCGATCTAGCAAGATCCTGATATTTCTTATTGTCACCTCCCTGGCTATCAACACCTTCGATGGAGTATCTATGTGTCTCGCAGTCTAGATTGCAGTAAAACACTTCCGTGAATTGCGACAACATTCGGCAGAAGGAATCATCGGGGACAGGCTACTAGCTACGACTTGTATGATGTCACTTAATGTTTGCGCGTGGATGGAACAACTACGTGCTTAGAGTTCCGCACGGGTAACTGTTACCCTACCGCGGGTCGGAAAGTCAACCCGCCACGGGGAAATATCACGGGGTTTGGATAACACCGCGGCATCTCTGAACACCGAACAAGAAAAGTAGGAAATGGCCGGTCTGTGTTGAGTCTGCACAGACTCCGCGTCACTGTGACCTGTAGGCTGTATAGACCCCGACCAAACCCTGCACTTTCTGAGAAAACGGCAATAAAATGAAATATTACTATTGTCCCTCGCCCTCCTCAGCTTCAATTTCATCTCGCCTCCATTTCTGACTCCTTACAGAGGTTAGAAGGTCTTCCATCTCCAGAAGATCACTTTTGCCCCAGGCTCCGAGGCAGAGAAAGGCCAGAATTGTTGATGGTGCGAGTCGGTTGCTCAGATGTACTTGCCGCTGGGTTGTCATAGGCGAATTGATGCTTGATCGTGTGAGATCAATGGTTCCTGTGGGTTTCGATCGAGCAGACTGGGACTGCTTGACCTTCTTCAAGAGGCGGGC